ATGGATGGATGGATGGATGGATGGATGGATGGATGGATGGATGGATGGATGTAATGATGGATGGATGAATGGATGGATGGATGTAATGATGGATGGATGGATGGATGGATGGATTCTTTCTATCATCTTTCATAAGTTTCTGTAAATTATAAATATTTTCTGTTCAACATAAAACCAATCAGTGAAGTCAGAAATAGTTTAAACTTTATTGATCCGTTCCAGCTGTAAACCAGACGATGGATCAATAAGTTCTTTATTCTTTCCTCCAATCAGGCTGAATCCAGAAGTACTGACTCACCAGGCTGACCCTAACAGCACTATGACTTCCTGTCGTGGTGTCACTGTGGCACATTAAAGAGCATCTCCAAGGCCTTCTGTTTGATCTCAACACCTAAGTACTACAGCAGGTTTCACGCTTGACCTGCAGCTTTCCTCAGATGAGCAAACGTTGGGCTATTTGCAGAGGTGTGTGGATGTGTCTAATGGGTTGAGATTAACGAGATGACCGTGGTAAAAATAAGATCCGTCCTCCTCTTCCAGTATATAAGAGCTGGACAGAGGAGACGGAGGACTCATACGCCAACATCAAGCGAAGGAACTAGCAGCAAGTTTGGAGCAGAGAATAAAGTAAGTTTGATTTTTGATCAGTTTTATTACAACTGTCCTGATCTGTGACACAAAAYCCTTTCTGTCTGCTGCAGGTTCCAAACATGAAGAGCATCCAGTCTGTGGCCGTCCTCCTCCTGGTCCTGGGCTTGGTCCAGATCAGCCGGCAGGTTCCTCTGCTCCACCCCGAGGACCGCTCCAGGTACAGTCCAGACCTCTGGAGAGTTTAATCTCAACATGATAAATGTAAAGATTGAAAATAAGAACAAACCAGAGCTTCATCTGGAAAAAACATGGATTTACTTTGATAAAACCTAACTTTTAGACTAAAAGGATCACCTGTTAATGTTGTTAATGGTAATATAAAATGTTTCAAACTCCWATAAATGTACGACAAAAAAGACAAAAACATGTGGAAGACAGAGTGCGCCACAAAATCAGCACAAATCAAAATACTAGAATAAAAAACAGTTGTACCAAATGGGTCAGTGTATCTTCTGGTCATTGGATTTTCATTTTCGAAACGGGTATTAAAAACAAGAAACGATTGGAT